CTACTAGCTTAAAACAAACTTTTCTCTGGCCTGTGTACAGCTCCCACAGCAATTATTTACTATGAAATTCTTTTGTTTTGGTTCATAAAATAAGGAGAAAACAACAATGCCCAATTACAGCCATTTTATATAAGTTATAGAGAAATCAAAAGGAAATCTCTTAATTCTCAAAGTATTTCCACCAAAACACTAATGAACTTCACATTATGTAGAGTTGTAAGCCATAAAAGCTTAAATGACATATGTTGTTTTTTGGTATAATTACAATAATTTCTTGTATTTTCAACAGTATCATGAATTGACTGGAGTCTCGAGAAAAACGAAACAATTAATTGTCTCCACTCAAGGTCATTTTGGAACCTAAAGGGTGTTCCACTGATTCTCTAAACTAGTAACAGGTTGCAATCAACACTGAGTGAGAGAAGTGGGACTTAATTTCACAGAAGGAAATGATCAAGAACCTTTTTTGGTGCTGAGGTCATGTAGCCTCTATTGTTTCTGAAGTATAATGAACCAGGTGTCTTAATAAAGTTTTTTTTTTTTTGTCTTTTTCATTTTTATCGGTACCGGGGATCGAACTCACGACCGCCTGCTTGCAAGGCAGGTGCTTATGCCGCTGAGCTAAATCCCCAGCCCTAACCAGGTGTCTTAAAGTGATCTAACATTAAATCTAAAATGCTAAAGGAAATGCTAAATGTCAGTGCTAAAGACAGAAGAGCACTGTTTGGACCAATGTGGTGAATGAAAAAAAAAAAAGCAAAGCAAAGTACTGTTTGATATTGCTATTACAAAGCCAAAGAAAAGCAACAGCAACGAGGGAAATGGGTATAAGGAACAGAACCGTGTACCATCGGCACCAATTCTATGAGTGAAAGACAAAGCAGACTGTTATTCAGATGTGCTAGATGAACAAAAATGGCTTGGAAAAGGCAGAAATGACAAAACAAATTTCAGAAGTTAGTAGAAAGAAACAGGTGTGGTGGCATATGTCCGTAATCCCAGCACTCTAAGGGACTGAGGCAGGAGGATCACAATTCAAGTCCAGAATGGAAAACTCAGCAAGAGTTGCTGAGACCTGTCTCAAAAAGGGAGCAGGGGATTACCTGGGAATTTAGCTGAGTGGCACAGCATCTACCTGGTAAGTGTGAGGTCTAGAGTCTGATTCCCAGTGCCAAAAAACAGAAATCAAAATCTAGGGATGTAGCTCAGTGTGATGGCCCTGGGTTCAATCCTCCCTCCACTAAAAAAAAAAAAAAAAAAAAAAGTGGAAAGAGAGGCTACTGTAAAACCATGAAAATTACAGTGGGCACAGTTACACATTGGATGAACAAACATGTCCTTAAGAATATGAAATCTTTAGAAACAGCTGCTTCTAGACTTGTAACAACAAACTGAAAAGTCCTGATCAGCTGCTGATCTTTAAACTTTAAGAACTAATGATGAATGAAATTTGTAGTCTATAATCAAGCTATCCAGGTATTAACAGACATACAACTAAACATTAAGGCAGCAAGGATTCTATCCTACCAACCTCTTTTTCCCTACAACAAGGGGGCGGGACATTTTCTTTTCTTAAAGAACTTAAAAGTTTTTTTTTCTTTTTCTTTTTGGTATTCTATATTGAACCCAGGGCATTTACACTCAACAACAGCCTCGGTTTTTTTTTTTGGCTTTGCTTTAAATTTTGAGACAGGGTCATGTTATGTCTTCACATTGCCCAGGCTGGGCTCGAACTTGTAAAGTTTCTGCCTTGACCTCTTAGAGACCTAAGATTATGGACTGAACACAGCACCAAACTCTAGTAGGTTTTACATCTATGTGTATGTGTGAAACAGAGAAAGACACATGCACACACATACACTCACACAGTTTCATACTCACGATATAGGCCAAGTTGGCTTCAAACTCACTGTGTAATCTAGGATGGCCTCACACTTATGATCCTTCTGCCTTAGTTACTCCAGGGCTGGGATTACATGCACACACCAGTAGTTTTATTTTTAATACAAGGTCTTACTCTATAGACTTAGCTAGACTTAGACTCACTAGATAGTCTGGGCTGGCCTCAAACTCAACAGAAAAGTTTATACTGAACATAATTCATGAAAGACTGAGACCATGGAAAATGTAAAAATTACTACTTTTTTCCTGAAGTACAAAATTAATACCTGAGTTAAAACTTTGTATCTGAGAATTTTTTTTAAATGGACTAAGAATTTTCTGGTAACATATGATAATAATCATATGAAAATATGCCTGTTTCATACAGAACTCCAGCTACCTACAACCAAAACAGAGCCACACTCAATATAAGAACAGAATATTAAAAGCTGTTAGAGATAAGAAACAGATCACCTATAAAGGAAGGCCCATCAGAATTACAGCAGACTTCTCGACACAAACCAAGTCAAGAAGACCTTGGAGCGAAATATTCCAAGCCCTGAAAGAAAAAAACCTCCAGGGCAAGATTGATATACCCTGCAAAACTGTCTCTAGAAATTAATGGAAAAACAAGATCCTTCCAAGACAGAGAGGAATTGGGGAAATTTGGGACCACCAATCCAACCCTACAGAGAATATTGCAGGGCATTCTAGAGAGAGAGAAAAGTACCAGGATTCCAGAAACAGTGGCAGAGAGGCCTCAATGAATGGAGCAGAAAGTAGAATGAAAAAGACAAGCAAACAACTAATGGCAAAGAGCATAACAGAAATGAGGCAGAGAAGGTTGGTTATAAACCGCAATATAGACAGCCTTGATACACTAAATTAAAAAAAAAGAGAGAATCACAGGTAGAGTAGATCAGGAGGTAGGTCTACTGAGATACTCTTTATAGGAAATATAATTAACCTGAAAAAGGGTATATGGACTGAAAATCAAATATGGGAAAACAATGCTCAATAGGACAGGGAGCCAGAGAGTAATAGGGACAACTAGACCAGTTATTTGTGAATAGGCTGGAAAGACAGGCTTTAATAGGTAAAGGAATATAATCAGAGATCAAGTCCAGGAGGGAGAAGGTTTGGAACCACTTAGGTAAATAGCAGGTTGCCCCCCTCCCCCAATTTAAATCTGAGGGTCTAGATGAGACCCCAAAATACAGTGCACCCTGGCAAAAGATACTGCAGATGGCAGAAGATATTGTTAATAGTATATCAAGAATTAAAACCCATATTACTTGCACCACTCTGCATAGATAAATTTTATTCTGTCCCAGTTTATCTACTTGCATTGGATTTGAGGGCACAGACAGCTATCCCCAAAACACCAGGATATAACACAGTAATCATCTTTAATTTCCTATTAACTTAATTTGGAGCCCTGTATGACTTATACTGGTTTATCATGATCGATCTTAGTTAAATCTGGTTTGTTTGATTGCTGTTTGGTATTGACAGATTTTATTCAAAACTTGTATGATTGATAACATCAAGTTTGAGAGTTTAGGCAATTACACTGAAGATGACAAGACTCACTATGATACCAATTTTGGCTTGATTACTATCTGTTTTTGAAGTTTTATACTACATAAAAAATTGTATTATTAATACTGTTATGTACTGATATATTCAATTATACTATGTCTGATGATATAGCCAATTCTATTGAAGATAACAAGAGACAACACAGTAACCATGGTAGAACCCCTTGTACAGCGAGCGGTCTTATATGTCTTTTTCATTTCATGTGTTTATACGAATATGTTTTGTTTTGTCCTGCTTTGTTTTGTTCCTCCAATATAGAAAGGATAGAAATACATGTTAAGACTCATGCATGCTTAGAACCATAAACAGTTTATGAGAACTGATCTTATGACACATGATGAAATGAACAAATACTTTGAAGAAAAAGAGACACTACAATACCCTGTGCTGATCCAGGAGTATCATAATGTGAAACCCAGCAATACTATTATTCTTTTCTCAGAGTGATTTTTTGTTGAACAGAACTGGTTGCAGTCTTGCTGTTTGAAACCCCACTTTATATGCTCCACTTTTGTATCTTGAATAACTATTTATAAGAGGACAATATATAAATATCAACTAGTGATTTCTTACTGTTAATTCTTTCTTTGAAAGTATGTATTATTTCTATCCATTTTCTGTTTTGTCTTTAAATAAAATTTTTAAAAAAAGAGCAAAGGGAGGGAAAGGTGGAAACTACTGTCAATTTCTTATTGTCTTATCTTGAACTCTTGCATTGTTTACACAATTTTATTAGGTTTGGCTTTGTTCTGTCTTTTGTTAGATTTTATGCTTTCAGGTGGTAAGGGCAGCTATTCTGAATATAATTTAGGGAAATATTACGGTAATCATAGTTTCCTATTATATTGTTTTGAAGTCTTATAATGCTTTCATTCATTGGTCTGATTTTATTTTGTTTTGATTTTTATTATGTGAGGTGGTATGAACGATATTTTGAAGAAAACAAGACATTATGGTAGCTATTGCTGATGTACTATCATCTTGTTTTGAAGTCCTACCATGCTTTTGTTCTTCTGTTTTGATTGATTCTAGCTTGTTGTGTTTTATTTGATTTTATTATGTGTGATGTTACAGACAAATTTTTTGAGGAAAATGAGGTATTATAATAGCAGCCATTGTTCATTTCCTGTTATTTGTCTCTGAAGTCCTGTAATGCTTTCATTCTTTTGAATGTTTTTAACTATATTCTTATGTTTGATATTATTGTGTGTGAAGGTATGCTCAACTATTTAAAAGAAAAGAGACATTATGTTAGCTAATGTTGATGTCCAATTGTTTTGTTGTGAAGTGCTGTGTTGTTTGCATTTTCCTGTTCTGATTTGATTTGTTTCATTGTTTTCTTTTGTTCTCTTTAAAATAAATAAATAATTTTTTTAAAAATAGAAAATATGCCTGTTTAATGCTTATTTTATCTGTTCTGTGCCATTTTTAAGATTAATGTCATATTTCCTTTTAAAAGTTCAAGTTAGACCTTTAAAAAAAAATAATTTCTGAAGTTTATTAACATCTTTCTTTACCTCTTTTGTCTCTTCTGGGTCTGAATGATCCACAGTTATATAAAGATCATTTTGCAAATATTTTAGAGCACTAAGAGGATCTACTTGGGCCTTTTCTTCAAACCTAAAAAATATAAACAAGAATAGTAATTATTTTGAGTTACATGGTACCATTAGAAATGTCATTAAAATTCAGAGCAAAGTAAAATACCTTGGTTCACAAACACTTCTGTTTATAAACAATTTGGTCTGTAAACAAAAGCATTTGGCAAATTTTATTTCTGTTCACAAACTGCATCAGGCAACAGACACAAACACAACCACTCCCCTGCCCCCTCCACACAAACCAACCACACAAACACAGCTATTTTCCCCAAAATCATAAAACAAATTAAGTTCATAAACCAAGGCACTACTGTATATATTCTGGAGATCTAAAAAACATGTTTGGGAATACAGAGTAAGAATATCACCAGGCAGACAGTGTAAATGAAGTCCATGGCAATAACGGCAATATCAGGTGGCCACAAACAGTTGCTGTGCTAAGGAACAGGTACTTTCTGGCCTTTCCTTAAAATTGTAACTGAGAATTAAGGCAACTGTACAACCGTGATTATGCTAAATATTTCACATGTCAAAACTGCAAAACAGCCCAGTTTGTTCCATCAAAGACAAGGAGCTATAAAATAAAAATACTTAATTTGTAAAATATATTTTCTAAATAATACGCTTAACAGTCTGGAAATGAGTTTCTCTTTTGAAAAGTATCATTAACATTGATTTGATTTTTTTTTGATTTGATATTTTTAATGAGACTATTTCCATTTCTCAGTGAAAACAACCTGAGAGAAACATCTGCAGCAACCACATATCCAGCCAGCACTTGTAATGTGTGAGATACTGATTTAGGTATTTTATACACATTACTTCATTTACCCTCAAAAATAACCACGATGATCCAGTTTTACCATTTTTAAAAATAAGGAACATAAGACCTCAAATATGAGTCTGACCATGACAAAAGCCAGTAAGTAACAGAAGCAGAATCAAATTCAGTTGTATCTGTTTCAAAACCGAAAAGGAAAAAGAGTTACGGTGGGGGGGAACCCTATTCATATCAATTTATCTATTTAAGTAAGATAATGTACTTTGGTTATAATATAATCATACATGGGTTTATTTATAATTAATGGTCATGTTTTTCAAAATATTATACAAACAAAGAAAAGATCATTTATTTCATTGTTCTCTGGGTAGGGAAAATGGTGAAGACTTATCCAGAGTGTACAGGCTGAAGACCACCTCAGTGATAAGGTATCAGTATTTTAGGCAAGTCAAAGTCTAGAAAAGTATTACTGTTCTTTTGTACTTTTATTTACTTCCTTGGTACAACATATTGCTCTCCCTTTAAATTTGTATTTTTACTAAATAGAATAATTATTTTCCATAACAACAATAAAAAAAGAGAAGCCAGTCTAGCCAACATAGGGTAAGATGATGTACAATGAAAGATTAAGTGTCTAATATGACAGCTGAATTAAAATATACCACTCACTATTTAGAAACAAACTTCTATCTATTCTGTCTGCAATGTAGCCATGACCTTGAAAGCTTAACTTACTCTGAGTAGCTACAGATAACAATACACAATATACTGTTACCCTGTTATCTTGTTTTGAAAAAATTTTTCTTTTAAAAATAAAGAGTTTGAGAGGGAAAAAGGTCTACATTGTTTCAAATGTTTAAAATCTGCCCTTTTATTGGTCAGTTTGAATTAGTAGTAGACAAGATTCTCATGATCTTCTAGGACCATCTTTGGCTATTCTTTCTCTCATATCCATAACAAATTTTCCAAGAAATTCTGTGCAACCTTTAGAGTTATCCAATATCTTACTGTGCTTTCTCAGTCTCTTTTGTGGAGTATCTCTTCCTTTGCAAGCCTCTCAAAAGGTGGTGACTCTCCAACAATGCCCATATACCTTTACTCTTCTCACTCTCCCTGAGCAGCTTTCTCCCTGTGGCTGACTCAAGGATATAATGTCAGGAAAATCCTTTTCTCCAAATGCTCATAGACAATCTCCACATCAACTAGTTGGTATATATGAAAAAAAAAAAATAGAACTAAAACTAGTTTCTCTGAATTTGCTTACCACTTAAAAACAAACAAGCAACCTCTTTTAAAAATAAAGTTAACACTAAGTAAAATACTAAGGATAAAATGTTAACAATAGTTGGAGGCTTCTCCAAGTTTAAATCTTGTAAAGGTTTATCCCTTGCTATCTAAATAAAGTGAAAATTTACTTTTTTCCCTTCTAGATCCTGTAAGATATACACTCATTATTCACAATAATGCTTCATACAGTTTTTGCATTAATGTATTTGTCAAGCACAACTTGTGAAGCACAGAATGGTAACATTATATGATAAAGAAACACAAAATTAATTTATACATAGAGATTTTAAATATTTATATTCTATATAAAATATTTAATGTACTAAACATATAAAAATAAATACACGCATAATTATATGTACATATATACACACATAGACAGGGTGGTTAAACAAGGAGGTGTAGTGTCAGAATACTTGTGATAAAATCTTGGCTTTGAATCCAAGTAGGCAAAAAAATTCTCTAGCTATCCTATGAAGAGGCAATGAAACTAACAGTGACAAAAAGCCTAACAGAATGAATATACCAGATAGGGTCAGCAGTTAAACAGAAGCGAAAGAAAGGGGATCAGTAACAGGAAAATAATGCAATGACAATATAAGCCAATACCTTTAGGTAATAACTCTGAATGTGAATGGTCTCAATTCTTCAACTGTAAGACACAGACTGGCAGAATGGATCAAGAAACAAAATCCAACGGTATGCTGTATATAAGAAACACATTTAATCCAAAAAGAAATTCAGACTAAAACTCAAAAGGATGGAAAACAATAGTCTATGCAACAGGAACACACACACACAAAAGCAGGAGTAGCTATTCTATTTTCAGACAATGTGGATTTCAAGCCAAAACTGATCAGAAGGCAAAGAAGGTCATTATAAATTAGTTAAGGGAACATTTCAATAGCAGTAACAATTATTAACATACATGCACTGAACAACAGCACATTCACTTTCATAAAACAACCACTACTGGACATAAAAGACCAGACAAATATCAATACACTTATAGTGGGGAATCTCAATACTTTACTGTCACAAATAGATCAACTAGACAAAAAAAAAAAAAAATCGCCTAATAGCAGTGTTGAAGAAAACTTTCAAACACGTGGACTTAATAGATATCTACAGCATTCCACCTAATAACAGCAGAATATACCTTCTTAGTAGCACATGGAACTATCTCCAAAACAGACTACGTACTACTCAAAGAAGCATGCTTAAGTAAATGCAAAATAACTGAAGTTACAGCATGCATTTTATCAGATCATGGCACAATGAAGCTAGAAATTAATGACAAAAGAAAACACAGAAACTGTGCAAACAGATAGAAATTAAACAATAATGAAGGAAGAAATATGTCAGTTCCTTGAACTAAACAATAATGCTGATATAACATACTAGAACTTATGGGACATAATTAAGGCAGTCCTAAGAGGGAATTTTACAGCTTTGAATGCCTACATCACAATAAACAGAGCAAGTCCAAATAAACCTAACAGTACATCTCAAGGTCCAAAAAAATCAAGAACAATCCAAAACCAAAGACAGTACAAAAAGAAAATTATAAACACCAAACCAGTAAGATTGAAAATTAAAACAAATACAATGAATCAAACGGTTTTACAAAACAGTAAACAAACTTATTGTTAGCCAACCAACTCCAAAGGTGAAATTATAATGGACGTTGCCAAAATCTAGATTACTGACAATTATTTTGCAGATCTGTATGCCAATAAATTGGAGAATTCAGAACAAAGATTCCAAGATATATATGAATTGCCAAAACTGAACCAAGAAGATATAAAAACCCTGAATAACCCGATAACAGGCAATGAAATTAAAGCAGTAATAACCTACCAACTAAGAAAAGCCCAGGTCTGGATGAATTCACCACTGAATTCCACAAGCTTCAGGGAAGATCTAATACCAATACTCCTCAAGACGTTTAATGAAACTGTAAGGGAAGCAATATTCCCAAAGTCATTTCTGAAAGCTACCTTTACCCCGAGAGACCAATTTCTTTAATAAATATAGATGCAAAAATCTTCAACAACATCATACTGGCAAACAGAATGCAACAAATCATTAAAAGGACAAAGCAGGCTTCATTCCAGTAATTCAGGGATGGTTCAATACATGCCAATCAATGAATTTAATACACCACATAAACAGAAGAACAAAAATCACATGACTATCTTAATATATATAGAAAAAGCCTTCAACAAAATTCAACATTTATTCATTACAAAAACACTGAAGAAAACAGGCATAAATAACATTATCTCAAATGGTTAAAGTCATTGAACAAGTAATGTCATACTAAATGGGGAAAAATAGAAAGCTTTCCCTCTAAAATCAGGAATGAGACAAGAATGTCCATTCACTATCACTACTCCAGTTCAATACAGTACTCAAAATTAGCAAGAGCAGTTAGGCAAGAAAAATAAATAAACCTTATATGGAAAGAAAGAAGTCATCATTATTTGCAGATGACATGATCCTCTACATAAAAGACCCAAAAGATTCTACCAAAAGACTCCTAAAATTAATAATCAAGTTTAACAATGTAGCAGGAGTCACAATTAAAACACAAAAATCAAGTGTTCCCATAAACCAATAATGAACTCACTGAGGAAATTAGGAAAAAAGTACCATTCACAATAGCACCAAGAAAAATTAAAATACTTACGAATTAACCTAACCAAGGAAGTAAAAGATGTCTACAACAAAAACTAAAATACTCTGATAACAGAAACTGAAGAGGACATCAGAAAATGCATAGGTATTTCTTATTTCTGGACATAGAGAAACAAACAATATAGTCAATGACATTCCCAAAACTGATATACAGATTTAATATAATCTCAATCAAAATACCAACAACATTCTTTACGGAACTGGAGAAAACAACTCTGAAACACACATGAAACCAGAACAAACCTAGAATAGGAAAAGCATTCCTAGATAATAACAATAAAGTGCAAGGCATCACAATCCCTGATTGAAGCTACAGTGACAAGACAAAACCAAACCAAATCAAACCAAGCCAAACCATGGCATGCTAGTGGCACAAAAACAGATATGTAGATCAATGGAACAGCACAGAGGATGCAGAAACAACATCAAGCAAATTCAGCTTTATCTTTGACAAAGGGGCCAAAAATGTACACTGGAGAAAAAGTGGCCTCTTTAACATATGGTGCTGGGAGAACTGATTATCTGCATGCAGAATACTGAACCTAGACCCATAACTCTCACCATGTACTAAACTAAAATCAAAATGGATCAAAGAGCTAAAAGCCCAAAGGCAAACAACCTGCTAAAAGATAAAATAAGTAAAACTCTTGAAATCATAGGGATAGGCAAGGACTTTGTGAACAGAATTCTGGTTGTGGAGACATAGTGCCGAGAATCAAAAAAGTGGGATCAAATAAAATTTAAAAGCTTCTGAACAGCAAAGAAAACAACCAAGAGAGTGAAAAGACACCCTACAGAATGGGAAAAAAATTTCTGCCAGCTACTCACTCCTCAGAGGACTAGTATCTATAATAGACAAAGAATTCAAAAGAATTAGACCCCCCAGAATAAAAGAATCAAGCAATTGGTAAGTAAAATGAATAGGCACTCTCAAAAGAAGTGCAAATGGCTAGTATATACAAGAAGAAATGTTCAACATCACTGGCTATTAAATGCAAATTAAAACAACACTGATTCTATCTTACCCCAGAAAGAATAGCTATAATCAAGAAATGAACAAATCCTGTGGAGGCTAAAGGAAAAAAGGAATTCTTTGAAATTGTTGGTGGGACTATAAACTAGGACTGTACCACCATTATGGAAATTCCTCAAAAAACTAAAGCAAGAAACTTCATTTGACCCAGCTATCTGCAAAAAAAGTAAACAAGACCAAGGAAATATATGGGTAAATGCTCAATTACATGATTTTATATTTAGCAAAAGTAATTATATAAAACTATAACCATATTTTAAATCGATTTGATACATCAAATTATTAAAATGTTATTTAGCCAAGCCAGATGTGGTGGCACATGCTTTCAAACCCAGCACTTGAAAGGTTGAGGCAGTAGGCCAGCCTGGGCTACAAGTCAAGGCTTGCCTGTGCTAAACAGTAAGACCTTTTCTGAAAAATGAAACAAGACAAAAGAATTATTCAGTCAACTATAACACCACATTCATTATTATGAGAATGAACAGGTTGAAAATATATCAATAATCTACAGCAGATCTAATTTATTTTTGAAGTGGTGTCTCACTCTGTAATTCAGACTGACCTTAACTCACTATGTAGCCCAAATTAGACTTGAACTTATGATGATCCTCTTGCCCTAGTCTCCCAAATGCTGAGATTACAGGTGTGCACTACCATGCCTGGCTAAATTGACCTAATTTGTAACCTTAGTAACTGAGTTCCTCCAAGGCAGCAACATGACCTTCACAGCAAAGCTTTTCCTATTACTTTAGCATTCACAAAATTTCACTGGCTCTGTATTTAAAATATTTTAACACCAATGCCTTTGTTTTGTCTCTCCCTTTTAAAGAAGAAAAAAAAAGTAACAAAACATCTACAAGGGACATGATTTTCACAATATTTACATTTACCTTTTTATTAAAGCTGCAAAGAGAAAGTGTTATGTCCAAAGCTAGGTAAAACCAACAATAGCTGATAATGTTATAAGTTTTTAGTGAATTATTCTGATACCTATGTTTTCTTATGAGGTACTTGCAATGCCTGAGCAAGTAATCTTTAGAAGGTCGACACAGCTTCAGTGACCAGAAGTCATCAAGTCTCATCTTTGGAGAACAAGATTTTCCTGGATTCCCACCAAATAAGTAATGAACCTATAATAAAAAAACAAATCAGATTTTTAAAATCTTATACATTCTCAAGAAAACACTGAAGCCATCGTAAAATTTGTTCTGGTAGCAGTGCATTGCAGATAACTTCCATATCCTTATGCACATAAAAAATTACAAAATTAGTACATTTTTGCCAAAAGTTTCTACTGATTTTTCTCAAATTTCAATTTTACTTTAAAGTACTGTGGCTACTTTTCTAGACTACATGTATTACAAAAATGGCTTGTACTACCATAATTAGAATGACAAGCAGCAGCTAATCCAACATACAGTTTCCAGAGGGTAACAAATTAATCAAGTGTTGACTAGAATAGCAAATGCATCTTTTAAAAGCACTCTTGACACTCAGCCAGATAAGGTGGCACAAGCCTATAATCTTAACTACTCAGGAAAGTAGGAAGGTGAGGTATGAGGATCACAAGATTAAAATCAGCATGGGAAATTTACAGAAACCCTGTTCGGGAGAAAAAGAGGAGAGAAGAAGAGAAAACAGGAGGGAATGGCAGGAGAAGGGAGGCAGAAAAATGAAAGAAATGAGTGTAACTGTGACACATTCAACAGAATAACTAAAAAGGAAAAGTACATTAAAATTTTTACCATATTATTTTGGTTTTAATCTAAATGTCAAATATTAAGTGGCACATATAATTTGTAAGATAACTTTAAAAATATCATTCCTTTATTCAAAACTGTAAGAACATAATAATGATTTCACTATTACATTAGACTTTTAATATTCCATACCTATAAAAAGCATTCAAGAAATTCTGCAAACACTTATATTCAATGATATTATACAGTAGAGACATTATTCTGTCCTATAGGTGGAAATTCATTTAATGCCTTAAATTGGGAGAACCAGCTTTTTTTTCCCTTTCCTTTCCCCCCATTTCCATGGTATCTTTTTTTTTTTTTTTTTTTTTTTTTTTTTTTTTTTTTTTTGGTCTTTTTCGTTTATATCCGTTCCAGGGATCAAACTCACAACTGCCTGCTTGCAGGGCAGGCGCTTATGCCGCTGAGCTAAATCCCCAGCCTCCATGGTACCTTTTAACCTGGAGCGCCTAAGCTATACAGCACGTGCTTCAAATTATCATCTATACAGCCTAAATAAAATCAGGAATGTCAGTAAATTTCTTGCTTTTTTTTTTTTTGTACCGGGGAGCAAACTCACGACCTCACATTTGCCAGGCAGGCGCTTATGCTGCTGAGCTAAATCCCTGGCCCTACTAAATTTCTATATGATATGAATTCAAGCACTAAACTACATGATAAATTTAAAGGAGAAACAACTAAAGAAATCACTCTGAATGCTTGGTGATATTAAAACTTTCAAATGTAATAATACCATTTTCATAAGAATAATCAAAGAGAAGTCACTCATATAATGGAAATACAGATAGTACAACTTTTTACACAACAGAGAAATTATATAACAGAAGGTTACATTCTTGTTCCTTTTTCATATCATAAATCAAAATTATTTTAAATAATAAACTGTGCAATTTTTGTTTTGGTTGTGGAATAGGACCTCACACACTAGGCAAACACTACCACTGAGCTAGAGAAGCAGCCAATAACTATTTTCCAAAGATGAAAAATACCAAAAATTAAATACACTACACAAAATACTTGTTATTAGTGTATATTAGTGATACTGAATAAAGAGATTCATTTGGGTATATTGGCACATTTGTGTAACACTTAATTTCATCCCTATTACCTCCTCTCCTCTTACTCACTTCTCCCTTAACTTCTTCCCTAGCTCTAAAAAGTCTCCTTTCTGGTTCCCTCTAATCCCTCCTTTTATTTAAAAATTTATTTTTAAATTGCTTATAGAAAAGAAAATATGCAATATTTAACTTTTTGAGACTAGCTTATTTCACATAAAATTATGGTTTCCAGTTCCACCCACTTTTTTTTTTGTCTTTTTTTTCCCCGAGCTACAGACTTGACAAAGTAGTTCAGAAGGGTCTTAAAGGCATTATGTAGCCTAACCTGGCTTTGAACTCACAATGGCCTTTCTGCCTCAGCTTACTAAGTGCTAAGATTATAGGCTCGCAGCACCACACTCAGCTCCACTTTCCTAATACTGGCATGATTTTGTTCTTTGTGGTTGAATAACACCATCATGCGTTTGTGTGTGTGTGTGTGTGTGTATGTTCTTTATCCACTTATCTGTTGTTAGGCATCTAGACTGTTTCCACTTTTTTCTTTTTCCTTTTTATCGGTACCGGGGATCGAACTCACGACCGCCTGCTTGCAAGGCAGGTGCTTATGCCGCTGAGCTAAATCCCCAGCCCCTTAATAATGCATCTTTTTTTTTTTTTTCCTTTTTATCGGTACCAGGAATCGAACTCACGACTGCCTGCTTGCAAGGCAGGCGCTTACGCCGCTGAGCTAAATCCCCAGCCCCTTCCATAGTTTAGTTATTATAAATTACATCTGCAAATGGGTAATTTGACTTTTTCCTTCTCTTTTTGTATCCATTTTTTACTTTCTCTTGCCAAAGTACTCTGGTTAAAATTTCAAGTACTATACTAAACAGGAGTGGTAAGAGTAGACACTATAGTCTCATTCCTTATTTTAGAGGAAATGCTTTTTCTTTCTTCATCCAGTAGGATATTATCTAGAGCCTCATAATGTACCGCTTTTATCAATTTGAGGAAAGATCTTCCTATTTTTTTCAGTATTTTTATCATGAAGGAAGGGTTTTTTCCCTGCATCTATAGAGAAGATCACATGGTTTTTATCCTTAGTTCTATTTATGTGGTATATTAGATTTACTGACTTACAAATGTCTGAACCATCCTTGTATCCCTGGAGTAAAGCCAGTTTGGTCACAGGTATGATCTTTTTAATATATGGCTGAATTATGTTTTCAAGATTTCTATTAAGTTTTGCATCTCTGTTCATCAAAAATAGCGTTCTGTACTTTACTCTTTTAGTTGAGTTCTTACCTGATTTTGGTATCAGGTGAATGCTGGCTTTGAAGAAAAAACATAGAAGCATTCCTTCCCTTTCTGTTTCATAGAAAAGTTTTGAGAAGCATTGATGTCAGACCCTTTCTAAAAGTCTGGTAAAATGCAGCAGTAGATCTGCATACTGAGCTTTGTTTATTTATTTGAGACACAGTCTCACTCTGTAGTATGTACTGACCTTGAACTCCTTATGTAGCCCAGGCTAGCCTCAAACTCAGGGGGGTCTTTCTGCCTCAACCTTCTGAGTGCTGCTATTACAGGCATGTGCCACCATGGGCTTTTCTTAGTTGGGAGACTTATTATTTTAGTCTCACTGTTTGTCATTCATCTGTTCAGATTTTTTTGTATCTTCTTGGTTCATTTTGATAGGACATATGTTGTTTAGAAATGTTCTATTTCCTTTATTTCAATGTTGACTATATAGGGAAATTTTCTAATGAATTGTAAGTTTTAAAATAGTTTCTAATAATATTTTAGATTTCAGTGGTGTCTTGCAATTCCACCATTTTCATCTCTAATTTTATTGAATCTTTTGAGAAAGTCTGGTTAAGGGCTTAGCAAACTTTATTTTTTCAAAGAACCAACTTTTGATTCACTGATCTTTTTTACTGTCCTTATGTCTATTTATCCTGCTCTGATCTTTATTATAATGGCACCTGACTTCACAAACTTCTTTCCACAATTCTGTCCCAAACTGCCTCGAACTGAATCAAATTCAATGGCTGGGTTCAATGTTGATGTTATAGGGAAATTTGACTTAGTTTACAATGAGAATCATGGGAAGAATTAAGTTCATGAACTGAGGTACCACTGTATTTTTTTTTTCCTTAACTGGATTTCGATCTGTTACTGTTTACCCAAGACCCTGAGATACATTATTAGGTTATTTGGAGTTGCTGTTTCTTTTTGTGGGTCTCTAGTGACTAAAATCAGGACCTTCATATTGAGACATAGCCCCAGTATCTTCACTGCAACTTTTAAAAGTTTTTGGTTACAAGATCTTCTTAAATTGCCCAGATTTATGATCTTCTTGCCTCAGCCTCCTAGAGTGCTGAGATTATAGATGTGTGTCAACAGGCCAGTTCCCTCAGATTTGCTGATGTGGGCAATCATAATTTAAAACTTTCATTGTGTCCCACAGATTCTTGTATGTCATGTTTCTATTATCATTTGACTGTCAGAATTTTAAAATTTCTTCCTTGATGCAATGACCCACTGAATATATTATTTAATCTCCAATGTTTGTGTGGCTTCTGTTACCACTTCTTTTTTTTAAAGTAACAGGGATAAAATCCAGGGCCTATGCACTGAACTATATCCTGGCTCTTATTTTGAGTGGACGTCTCAAAAAGATGCTCAGGCTGGAACCAAACTTGAGATCTCTTGCCTCAGCTTTTTTGAGGGGAGGGGATGACAGAGTCTTATTATATAGTTCACGCTGGTCTTAGACTCATGATAATCTTCTAAGGGGGCTGAAATTACAGCTTTATGCCACCACACCTGGCTTCTGTGGTTACTTTTTGATTTCTACCTTCTATGCATTGTGATCTTGTAAAACATATGAGATTATTTCACTTTTATTTATTAAAAAGACTTGTTTTATGGCTTAAAATACATTTCACTTTGCAGAAAGTTCTATGGGCTGCTAAAAATGTGTACGTTAGTACTGGATGGAATGTACACGTTCATTAAGTCCATTTGATCTATAGTGTACTTTAAGTGATTTTTTTTTTTTCTTGAGCTAGATGATCTATTTGTGAAGATGTTGAAGTCACCCACTATAATTGTACTGGAAGTGGTCCAGACCTTTTATGTCAAGCAGTGGAGTTTTATGAAAACTGAGCTGCCTATGTTTTGTATACACATACTTACAACTATTATCTCTTCATGGTAAACTAGTCCGTTTACCAACAGATAGTGCCCTCTGTCTCTTACAATTTTAATTCTTTATCTTTTATCAGTACATGTTTGCAGTACATAATGATGACATTCATCTTAAGGAATACATATAGTTAACATATTGTAATTCTTTTTTTCCCCTTCCCTTCCTCTCTCACCATCTCTATAATCTTTTCTCATGTGTAAAAGACCTATTTCCTACTGTTACCTTTTACTTTGTTTTAAAATTATTTACACTTTGAATTTTTCATCTAAGTTATGTGCTATTTAAGCTTGGGTATCTGATTTTGCTTAACATTATGATTTCAAGATGCAACTATTTTCCTACAAATGACCAAAGCTTATCCTTCTTTATGACAAAATATAATACCATCATTTTTTAAATCCACTCATCTGTTGATGAATACATAGGTTGATTCCAAGAATTGTGCGTGGATATGCATCTGTCAATGTGGTATGATGTCTTTGACTCTATTGGGATGTCACCTAGAAGCGGAGTAGCTGGATCAACTGGAATTTTTGTTTTTAATTTTTTAAGGAATATCTATACAACTTCCATAATGGCTGTACTAGTTTACAATGAGGAAGAGTGCCTTTTTACCAGCAGCCTTGGCAACATTTGTTAGTGTCTGATTTTTTGATGATGGACATTCTTTCTGGAGTAAGACAGAATCTCAGTATTAACTTAATCTGCATTGATGACCAGAGATGTTGAGTATTTTTTCATGTATCTATTGGCCATCTGTACTTCTGAGAAACATTTATTCATTTCAGTTGCCCATTTTTGGACTAGGTATTTTATTTGGCAGACATCTGATTTTTCTGAATTCTTTGTAAATTCTAGGTATTATTCCTGTCACAGTAGTAACTAGCAAAAACTTTCCCATTCTGTAGGTTGTTTCTTTATTATTTCCTTTGCTGTACAGATTTTTAATTTAATATAATCTCATTTGTTGAGTCTTAATGTTATTTCTTATACAACAGGAATTCTGTTTGGAAAGTTCTTTTCCATCCCTACATCTTTAAAAGATTTATGTATTGTATCTTCCAGGAAATTAAATGTTTCTATTTTAATATTTATAACGATGCATTTTTATTTTCTTTTGTTGTATGATGATAGGGGGCTTAGATTCAATCTTCTGCATGTGTGTAACCACTTTCCACAGCAGTATTTATTAAAGAGGGTATTTTCCCTCCCAGCATATGCTTTTGTCTCCTTTGTTAAAGATCAGATGCCTGGGTTGTTTCATCTTTTGTTCTGTTCCACTAATTCAAATGTGTTTTTGTGCCAGTACCATGTTGCTTTTCTCACTGTGGTGCTGTAGTATAGTTTAAAGTCTGTGATTGTAATGCCTCTTGCTTTGTTTTTATTCACAAGAAATGCTTTTACTATGCTGAGTCTTTTCTGGTTCCATGCAAATTTTACTTTTTTTGGTGGTTTTTTGAGACGAGGTCTTGCTATGTATATCAGGCTGGCCTCGAACTCACAGTGATCTAGCCTCAGTCTCCTGATTGCTGGGATTATAGGTGTGTGCCACTATGCCCAGCTCTCCATATAAATTTCAGGATACTTTTTTTTCTAGTTCTGTGAGGAATGCTGCTGCTATTTTGATTGGGACTGCATTAAATCTACTGTTCTGCCTGGTATTAGTTTGGACAATATATCTACAATATATCTACTCCTGTTGCTTTTTAGACTTCAGCTGCTTGGACTATCACTTTCTATTCTTTCACTTTCAATCCTGTTATGTCTCTTCCGATGAAGTTTTTTTTTTTGGTTTCAGGGACTGAACTCACAACCTTGTGCTTGCCAGGTAGGTAGGTGCTTGTGCTGCTAAGCTAATTACCCAGCCCTGAAGTTTATTTCTTAGAGGTAAATTCTGTTTCTTGATCCAATCTGCCAGACTGTGTCTTTTACTGGAAGAATTAAGAGCATCTTTATTAAGTGTTTCTCATAGAAATGTATATACTAATTTCTGTCATTTTGTTGTTTTTCTAAGCACTTGATTCATTCCTGATTTTCATTTGTTCATATGTAGTTTACTGTTTCTCTTGGTTCCAAGGTTGTGACTTGTCCCCTTCTTAGAAACATTTATTCTTTTAAGGAATTTTAGAGAGAAGTGACATTGAATGCCTATTACATATTCTAGTAAATGTTTGCTAGTATTATAACCTTATATTCAAATCCATTTAAAAACACTGAGAAACAAGATTATTTTAGAGATTCTTGCATATGGTAGGTCCCAGAGAGTTTATAGGTCAAAGTAGTAGACATACCTTGTGTAACTCATCATAAACAAGCTGATGGGCAAATCTTGGACATGGCTCTTCCTCCTGTAGACTTTTACTTGGATTATCCTTTGCAGCTTGATCATTCTTATAGACACAAGACCTGTAAGACAGCGCTTTTAATTGCCAATGTCCAATTATCAACAGAAAAAATTATATATTTGTTCACATCAAAAATTAAAGTCTTGATAACACTCATAAAATAATGTGAATGTGTAACGACTAAGTTCTCAAATTTTTTTTATAGCTATCAAATAGTTCCCTTTAAAAGAACCTGTGAAACACAACACAAATGAAACTCAAATGAAGGTTAAAGAGACACTAGCCTGTTTATTCACAATAAAGTGATACACAGTACAGTGTTTTGAATGTAAGTAAATGTTATATTTAGGAAAAAATAAATTTCTTAATTATTGAACACCATAACTAAACGGAGTATATTCTTGTTTTTTACTTTTAGTACCAAGGATTGAATTCACGACCTGGTGTTTGCCTGCAGGTGCTTGTGGCTCTGAGCTAAATCCCCCAGAGTAAGTTCTTTGAAGTGCTTCTGTTCAGCAGAAATATTCACTTAATGCTGCAATCACAGAACGTGAGAGCTGGATCCTCCAGGCCAGGGCTTACTGAAGCAATAGTTCTGTGACGCACTCTGGGAGAAAGGGTCTTGGTTTGGAAACACTAAGTAATAATGCCCCAAATCTGCACTAGAGACACCTGTTCACTTCATAAAAATTAGATAAAAAAGCATTATTTCCTTCTTCACCTTTTTAGTTGGTAGTAATATAAATCTCCTGACTCTCTGACTGAAAACTAACTAGAAGTAAAATTCCATTTAGTCAATATCACTGTACATACAGGAATCAATTTTGTCGATAATTTTTAAAAATACTGATTTCTTTCAATACTTCCTTTAAATGTGCAATGTAACAAGTAACATAAGCCTTCCATTTTTCTCATCTTTTAAATAAACAACCTAACATAAATATTACACTGAGATTGCCACACACAGACAGAAGCTCCTTACCAACTATTTCTCACAATGTCATAAATCCAGAATGAATTTCTGACATTCTCTTCTCTCTTTTCCTTGTCTTTGCTGAGTCCAGATAAGACATGTATTTCGTTTAGTTCTGGATCAATGGTTGCTCTCTGTGTGAACCCTGTCATTGGAACTGTAAGTTGAAGGAAAAAATAAGATAATATCCATGTTGAGACAGCAGACTAGTACTCTTTAAAAGATTATACACCTTTAACCTGTTCTGTGTCTACAGTACTTATCTTCCAACTCAAAGCATAACTTGTTTTATTAAACAGACAAGTATTTATTGTTTTCTAAGATTATAAGATAAGAAGGAAGAAAGATAATTGGTGGGTGGTACTAAGGGAAGAAATGAGGGAATGGGTATGATCAAAGTATCGTATATGTACATATGAAAACACCACACTGAAACTCAGTGTTCTGTAAAATTAAGACACACATATAAAATTTATTTTAAAAAAAGAAAGTAAGGTCCACAAAGCAGAGGTTGTTTTGTCAATCAATTTTATCCCACTGCCTAGAATAGTATCTGGCATATAACAATTATTCAATTCTTGTATTTTTAGGGGAGTGGGGTACCAGGAATCAAACTCATGACCTTGCACATGCCATGCAGATGCTGTATCACTGAGCTATATCCCTGGCCCTCAACTACTTCTTTATTTTTGTCGGTATCAGGGATCGAACTCACGAACGTGCGCTTGAAAGGCAGGCACTTACGCCGCTGAGCTAAATCCCCAGCCCTGCTCAACTACATCTTGAAAGAATGAATATCAACTACCAGAAAGGAACTATAGAGAAACAAGACTTGTGCAATGTATTCTTTACCACTGTGTTCATACTGGGTACACTATTTTAAAATCATCTCAAGTTAATTAACCTTTAATCCTTACACATTAAAAAAAATTAGTGTGTGGAAGAAATGGTTTGTTGAGGGTGTTCTTTGTAAAAGTACAATATCAAATTCATAGGACATAAATTACTTCTGAATTGAAACATCAGTTTGGAGTTAACTTGCTTATAATACAGAAACAGACTTGTGAGTTCAACAGGTTTTAGAAGCCAGTTTCATAACTTAAATACTAATTAGTGCTGGAAACATAAGGAATGTAGAAAATCTCGTTTTGATCTAAATTTCCCAATTAACTATATGATTTCACACAAGAATAATTTTGGATCCTAATTTTCCATCTAAAAATTCACAGTACTTCTAGGTAGGTTACAAAATCTCTTTAAGCTAGAAATTTCTGTTGGGAGAAGATAGAGTGAGAAGATGAAAGTTCTTAGTAACAACAGCATGGATAGACAAAGTAGGTAGCTATTAAAACAGAGTCAAGCAGAAAGCTGTTATGATTGAAATAAAAGTGGAATGGAAGCAGGCAGGAAGGAAATACCAATAAATAATTCCACCAAATGGATATAATCAGCAAGAAAAGTAGGTGTTCAAGCTCAGCCAGGATTACATATCCAAAGCCTGTCTCAAGGAAGGTGGGGCGCAGGGGGAGAAAGATGATAATGTAAAGCGAAGACATGTTATTCACTGACTATAAAAAAATCTCTGGACTGACATCAACAGAAACCAAGACTAGAATGGAAAACTGGGGAAACCAAGAGTAAAGATGTTTCACTGAAATTTTTCAAGTTATCAAAACATTTTTCTCCAAAAATACTCACTGGCAAAAATCTCTTAAAACACAAAATTTCTATTAACTCTTAAATTTGCAGTTCCTTTCAAATATAGGAAAATTTTCTGTATGTAAAACATATTATTTGGTATGTGATTGCTAAATCATCAGTCACTGACTGGTGTGCTACTTCCCTAATCCCAGCAGTCTAAATATAATATATAAGGAACAGAAAGAATCTTGTCTCCCCTGCTTGTTGCTTTGCTACTTTCTGCTGCAACAACTTTTCTCCTCTGCCAAACACTTTAGATAGGAACCAGCTGAAACCTCTACAAACTGCGTGCTAAATAAATCTTTCCTTCCTTAACTATGGGCACTGGGTGTTCTGTCTCAGTAGCAAAGTAATCAAGACAGAAAAGCATAAATCTCTCGTAGTGTCACAGATCTCCTATACTAATTTTCAATTAGTGCTAAATACAGAGCTGACATATGGGGGGGAATCTGCTAAACCCTTTATATTCGAAGTCTTATTGCCAAAAGTTATTCAGAAATAACCCCAAATTTTAGATACGCTGAAATTTGATGTAATTATGTGTTAGACACAATGCTAATAAATCCCTTCTTTCTAAGCAGCTGCCATTCTGATTGAAACTATTAATTCCCTTCCCAGGATAACATAAAACTGTTATACTCCAATTAACAAATGAAAAGAGTAAGTTTCTTGAGAACTTGAGATGTTAAATCGAAGGAAATATATTTATATAGTTATAAAGAGCAATGATTTAAGATTTTACAGTATCTGACACATACAAGATTATAATAAGCAGCAGCAATTTTTACCATTAGAGATATCTCTAATTGGTAATTTCAACAGTTCAAATTGTTGTATGACTTCCAACAATACAACTTGAAACTCACATTTAAATGTACTTTTAATCAAATAACTCACATTAGTGAATCATAAACACTAATTATATCCTAAATCCATCTCAAATTACAGTAATTAACTGTAGCAAAAAAGCTTTAGAAGAATAGTTAATAAAAACCAGAATGGTTAAATACACTAGAAAGCATCTACATAATGGGCAAAATTCGTGTTTTCTAAGAATGTTTAATAATGTAAGAATTTAAACAGTATCCTGACTCATTCTTCAAAGAATTTTTTGGGCAACCCACTCAGGACCCCTTCTGTCTCTCTCTCAGACAGAAGCTTATTTCTCTCAATAAATATAGTCTACTCTTAATAAAAAAAACTTTTTTCATGCCTTACAAAGTGGTAATCTAGCAAGATGAAAAAAAATGTAAATGTAATTTTTAAAGTGAGGTAAAAGTAATTCCATGGGAGAACAATACAATATACCATGGTTCTGACATGACATTTTTTTTTTTTTTTTTGAATAGCCTAACTTAATCCAGTAAAATTTTTAGGAGATCTAGAGTACTGAAAAGACTCGATGTTCTTTAAAAAATTCTGAATAAAGTATGCACATTTCCCCAGAGGTTTTTGTTTTGTTTTTAATAGTAGTGGGGAATGAACCCTCATAAGGAAAACTACAAATGAACTACATCACCAGAGTCTTGAAAAGCAGAGTCAAAACCATAGCAGACAGCCAAGATTAAAAAACCATATGCTTTAATTCTTAACCTGAGTTTATTAAAGAATTTAAGGAAACAATTTGTGATAAACACAAATTTGCTACTAGATTCTGGAAGTGACATGGAATGGGGAACAGCATTGGGAAAGCCCAAAATAAATAAAATGATTTATTAAGATTAAATATTCAAGTAATGAAACAAAGAGTTGATGGCAAGAGGATAATGATACCAAAAATGGTGCTAGAGAACAAAGCTAGGGCCTATCACAAAGGAGACTTTAAGGCAAGTTTACAGTTAAAGACAAGTAAAAGTGATCTAAAGTAAAGAAAAACCACTAGGTTTATCTTTTTTAAAGATAGTTTCTTTTAGCCTTAATCCAAAAGTAAAGTCAATTTACCACTTCTACCTTTCCATGCAAAACTAAAAGCTTCAGTAAGACAGAGCCAGCCCTTATTTACAGCTGTATTCCAAGTGCTTATCAGCATTCTGTTTACCACTTCGTAGGTAACCAAAAACTATCTGTTGAACAATGTGAAGGCATATGGTTGTTCATAACAGGTAATACAGATACTTGTATTTTGCTTGCAGTGTGGAGAATGGGTTGGGGAAGAAATGGAGAACACAGGGAGAGAAGACTAAAGACTGAGGCCAAACAGATGATGATGGCCCACACTAATATACACACTGAAGCAATAATTCCAGTGGAAAAAGATGGAGGAAAACTAACATGACTTGAGGGATACTAGATACATCAGTACTACCTGAGGTTAATATTAAGCTTTCAATGTTTCGGTTTCCATTTTTGAAATACTCGTAACAATAGAACTTAGTAACATTTTTTTCTCTTCAAATTCTCGTCCCTTGAATTTTTCTAGGTTAACAATACAAATTTCATATAAAAATTCAAAAAAACTGGCATCTTTGGTATGAAAGAATTAACATCCTTGGAGACAATTGAGCTACCAACAATAATATCAGCCCAAACCAGAATCCATCTGTACTCGAAAGAAGGTAGAAGCCAGCAAACCATTTTTCTTAAAATTTAATTTTGGCCATTCACAAACGCTAAAACAAAGGCTAAGATATCAGATAACCTGCTCAAAATTACTTAACTAAGGATTGAAATAGGTGTTGGAGAGTTAGAACAGTGCTTCTAGTCCCAACTACATTTTGGAATCCTCTAAAGAAAGAAAAGAAGAAAGGGAATGGGGAAGGGAGCAGAAAGGAAGAGAAAAGGAATAAATGAAAGGAGTAGGATAAAGATGAGAGAAAAGAAAACAATGTCTGTTTAACTTTAATGTATCAACTAAGCCACAGAGGTTCCTTAATTACAAATGTAACTCTAACAGTTAATCCAAGTAGGGTGAATGGGTGTAAAAATATGGGGGGGGGGCGCGCACATATGTGTATTAGAGATTGAAGCCAGGTCCTTTGCAGTGGCTACACTCTAGCCCTTTATAAAAATTTTAAAATTTTGAGACAGAGTATAACTAAGTTGCCTAAGCAGGACTCAGATTTGTGATCCTATGTTGGTCTAGTAGTAGTTCGAACCAAATGTTCAATTCTACTACTAAAAAGAAATCTTCAACACAATGCCCACTGTATATCCTAGCCATTAAACAATGCAACTCACAGGACTATTGTCAGAATTAACCACTTGGAAATTATATTTCTAGACAAAAGAGTGGTATTTTCAAAACAAATCAGATAAAGAATTTGACACTGAACCTTTTAAAAATTTTCTATTCAGAAAAACCAAAACTCCTTATACGTGGACAAGGTCTTTAATAACTAGACTCCTATTTCTCTCTAACCTCATTTCATTCAAACTTTCCCTGTTCTCTCAATGTATCAGTCCCATCTGTTTCTGGAACATTTCAGGTTCTTTCTGGCTTTGGAACATTTCAGTCCT